AGAGAGAGAGGGAGAAAGAGAGGAGGAGAGAGGATTAGAAAGACCTATAGAATGATGTTCTATTAGGACAGGGTTTCACTCTGTAGCCCATGCTGGCTTCAGATTCATGCCACACAGGATTACAGGCACACACCATTATCAGAGATTAAATCTAGCACCAGGAAGGCAGGAAATCATTAAATAGTTGAGGTTAGCCTGATCTCCATAGTGGATTTCCAGCCAGACAAGGGCTATACATCAAAACAGTGCCTTTTCAAAAACAAAACAAAACAGCCCCTTCAAATGAAACCAACAGCAGAGCCCCAAACAAACCAGCTCAAATCAAACCAAGCAACAGCAAAGAAACCAAATCAAACTAAACCAAACCAAACCAAACCAAACCAAACCAAACCAAAACAACAACAAAAACCCCAACCTAACCCAAATCAAACCAAACCAACCAACCAACCAAAAAAGAACCAAACTTGAAACCACCCTGAGGTAGACACTGCAAAAGGATCTTAAAAGACATATATTAAAGTGGTACACATGACATTGCTGTTTGTCAAGTTAAAAAGAAGAAGAAGAGGAGGAGGAGGAGAGAATAAAGGAGGGAGAGGTGGACGGAGGTGGAGAGAGTTCAGCTTCTTACAGAGACTAAGGGAGAACGGAGGGCATGGTAGACATATGCAGGTCCCAGGAAAGCGTCTCAGATCTGGAGTCAGTGCCCTCCCTAGGGGACCACCCCTTACCTGTGTCCCAGTGTTCTGTAGCAATGTCCCAGAACCCCTGTGTATGCTGGTGTGTGTGGGGAGGGGGTGTTGCTCTTAAATTGTCCTTTTCCACGCTCCTCCCCTGCCCTGCCCCCTTTCCTGCTTCCTTCAGTTCAAACCCCTCCTACCATCTGTCATACCTTTCCTGTAGACCCTGGGATCTCAGCCAGCTGGCTGGTGGGGTGAGTGGGGGCCACACCTCGAGAACCCTCCGTCACTTGACTGGGGCCTCTTGGCTTGAAGGCTGACCTTAAATCTCCTCCATGTGGACACTTTCTATTTGCTTTGGAATAGAGCAAAGACTTCTCAACTCTGGCCCTGGTTTGAGGAGAAGGTGGGGTTATGGGGCGTTGGCCAAAGAATTAATGGGAGGGAGCGGTGTGGATTCACTACTGGACCGAGTCCTATTTTGAGCTCTTCTGTTCTGTGTTTCTGGATTTAAGCCCTGTTTTGCCACCCTGTCCAGGAGGCCTTATATAAGGCCCAGCTCCTCCTGGTAGAGGACTGCATCTATCCCATGTCTTGTGGTTTGTGTCTGAAATTCTTTACGAATTTCATTCATACTCTCTCAGTCCCATGATAAAGGATCCTGAAATTCACATAAAAATGACACATATGATTGGTTGTTTGTCAAATAGAAAAAAAAAAAAAGAAAATAAAATGGAAAGAAAGGTGGGTACATTGAAGCCAAAGGTCTGGGAGGCCCTTGGAAGTGTGGACCCAACTTGGCTGTTCTTCTGGAGAGTGGGAGTCCAGACCTCCGGAGACCCCCTTTCTCTTTAAGATTTATTTCTAAGTTTTAATTATGTGTATGGGTCCCGAAAGTGCATGTGAGTGCAGAAGTCAGAAGGGGCCATCGTGTTTCTGGATCCTCTGTACGAGCCTCTCTCACCCACCCCTCTTTTAAGACAGGGTCTCTTGTAGCCCAGAATGTCTTAGAACTTGCCACATAGCCAAAGGTGACCTTGAACCCTGATTCTTTCAGCTCCCACCTCTGGACTGAGGGTACTGTCGGCATGCACTTTCACATCCAGTTTTGGGGTTGCTGAGGAAGGAACCCGAGCTTTAGGAACTGCAGACACTCTACTGATTCAGCAGGCACACCCCAGCCGTGCCTTTCTCTCTCTCTGCATTTCTCCCATCCTTATCTCCATGTAAGTTCTTCTGGGTTTCTTCTCTTCTCTCTCTTGGTCTCTGTGGCTCATGCTTCATGACTGTGAATGCAGTGGGCTGAGGCAGAAGGACAGTGCAGGACCTCAGAGGAAAGACCTTAGGCACAGATCGCACCCTCTCTCCCTCCCCAGGCCTCCCTCGTTCCCCCCATCTCACCCCGGTCCCCACTACCCATGTCTGTTCTTGGCTCTCATCTTGGAAACTAGTCCAAGATTCTCAACTTCTGTCCAAGTCAGAAGAGCAGCGTGTCAAAAGCCAAAGCTGGATCAGGGGGAGGAGGAGAGGAGTGCATTGAGGCCAAGGGTTTGGGAAGCCCTTGGAAGTGCACCCAACTTTACTCTCCTTCTGGAGGTGGAAGAGGAGGCAATTCAACAGCTCACGTGTCAGGCGAGATGGAGGTAGGGCGGGAGATGTTATTACAGCCCTGGAAAGGCTGGTTAGGGCTGATTGGGAGAGGGGTGAAAACTTCCTTGTGGGATTACACGCCTCTCGTTTCCCATGGCATCAGCCCCTACTTCTAGGGGGAAGGGTGCAGCACGGAATCCGGGCCAGTCCCTGGCATCTGAAACTGTTTTGAGAGGCATCTCATGCGATGGCCTCACTGGGGGGGACCCAGGATTCACAAAGGGCTGTTTCAGGGACTCTGTGTTCTTCTTGTGTTCTTCTTGGAACTTACACAAAAGGAGACATATGCTTTAGTGTTTTGAACTTGGTGCCATTGGTGTTTTGGGGCTAATAATTCATGTGGAAGGCTGTGCCGTGTGTGGTAGGATGCCAGAAGCCATTTCTTCATCCATCCAGTCGTGATGGGATCAAATGGCCCTGGAGGGTCTTTTTTTGTTTTTGTTTAACACATTCTTTCTATACTTATTTTGTTTTATATGTTTGAGTGTTTTTCCTGTTTATATGTCTGTGTACCACATACATGCCTGGTGCCTGAGGAGGCCAGAAGAGAGAGTTAGAGGCCTTGGAACTACAGTTATAAATGGTTGTTGGCCACCATGTGGGTGCTGGGAACTGAACCAAGTCTCTACAAAAGCACTTTCTCCAACTCTATTCTCCTCCTTCTCCTGATGCTGGAGATCAAATTTAAGCTCATGTGTATGCTAGACAAGAACTCTACTGATAAAAGTTCTACCACTGAACCATGCCCCTAAACCTTCATTGTGGGGTTCTAGGTAGGTGCTCTACCACTGAGCTATGCCCCCAGCTCCTCACTGGGGGATTCTAGGCAGGGGCTCTACCACTGAGCCACACCCCAGCTCCTCACTGGGGGATTCTAGGCAGGGGCTCTACCACTGAGCCACACTCCAGCCCCTCACTGGAGGATTCTAGGCAAATACTATACCAATGAGCTATGCACATAGCCCATAACTATTTCATTAGACTTATTCTTGTTTTTCTGAGATTTTGAGGTACATTTTTAAGTTATTTATTTAAGATCTCATGAATATTTATGTATTTGAGACAGTGTCTCACTGTGTAGCCTTGGCTAGCTTTGAATTCACAGAGATCTGTTTTTCTCTGCCTCCCAAGTGCTGAGATTAAAGGCATGCACCATTTTGCCTAGTGATTTGGCCTTGAAAGTGTTAATTTTATTATTTCAATTTTGAGTGTGTGTTTGTGTGTGTGCACACATGAAATTCAGTGCCTGTGGAGGCCAGAGGCATTAGATTTCCTGGAGCTGAGTTACAGGTGGTTACAGCTGTTTGATGTGGGTTCTGGGCACCAAACATGGGTCCTCTGAAACAGCAGGACTAACTTTTATTTATTAAAGTTTTTATACACTATATTTTAATCATGTTTTTTCCCTCCCCAAACTCTTCCTAGATTCTCTTCACTTCTCTACCCACCCAACTTTATGTTCTTTCTTCTTCTTAAAACAAAAACAAGACACAAAAACAAAAAAAAGAAACAAGACTACCTCTTGACAAAACCCATAAAACCACAAATCAAAACAGGCAAAAGACAAATAAGACAAAAACAAAACAAAACAAAAACACAACTTAAAAAAGTGAAAGAAAACAACCACAAAAATACAGTTGAGTTCCTCTGCTCTTGGATAGCTATGGATTCCTTTGGCCTATTTTTCTTTTTTCTTTTTCTTTTTTTTTTTTTTTTTTCATCAGTTATAACAGAGAGCTTTGCTAAGTATAGTCGTCACGATTGGTAGTTGTCTTTCAAAACTGGAACTACATCCTTCTAAGTCCTCCTAGACTTTGAAGTTTGAGCTGAATCATCAGCTGTTATTCGGATGGGACTACAGTTGGCTTTAGTGAAAGAAAACAACCACAAAAATACAGTTGAGTTCCTCTGCTCTTGGATAGCTATGGATTCCTTTGGCCTGTTTTTCTTTTCTTTTTTTTTTTTTTTTCTCATCAGTTATAACAGAGAGCTTTGCTGAGTATAGTCGTCACGATTGGTAGTTGTCTTTCAAAACTGGAACTACATCCTTCTAAGTCCTCCTAGACTTTGAAGTTTGAGCTGAATCATCAGCTGTTATTCGGATGGGACTACAGTTGGCTTTATGCTTTCCTCCTGCTGCTGTTCTCTCTCTCTCTTTTGAGACAGGGTTTCTCTGTGTAGCCTTGGCTGTCCTAAAACTCACTGTGTAGACCAGGCTGGCCTCGAACTCAGAGATCTGCCTGCCTCTGCCTCCCGAGCGCTGGGACTAAAGGTGTGTGCCACCACACCTGGCCTGGTCCTACTGTTTTCAGTGCGTATGTTCGTTATTCTGTATACTTAGTGGTTTAGAACTGAGGAGCTGGTCTCCCTTGCATATCTGGCTTGGCAGTTCTTTCCTTAATGTTGGCAATTTTCTGCTATAATTTTATTTCTAATGTTTTTTTATGCTTTTAGAATAAAATCCTTCTACTTCTATACACTTATTTCCTAGATTTATGTTTTTCATAGTGTCTCAAATATTTTATAAAGCCCCGATATTTTAATTCAATTCTTGTTGGAACAGTCTAATTCCCTCCTTGACTTCAGTTTCAGATCCTCTGTCCTTTCTTTGGTCCACTCAGTTTGAGCTTTTGTCACTGTGTTTCTCATTTCTAGCATTTAAGTTTTGATTTTCATCAGGATTTTGAACTCTTGGTTAAATTCCTCATTTATATCTTGTATTGACTTCCTTATTTCATTCAGCTGTTTGTGTCCTTTTGGAATTTATTCTGGAAGTAATTTTCTTTGAGTATATTTATAACAATTGTTGGATTCTTTGTCTGAGATTCCATCTAAACCATTCTCTCTGGAGGCCATTACTGTGGTGTTGGTTCTTTTTGGAGGATTTATATTGCCTTGTTGGAAAACATGAAGGACTAGGGTGGAGATTTGTGATGTTATTTTCCTCACTTTGAAGATTTTTGTGGCCACAGGCATGACCTCCAGTGCTAACTTGCTGTTAGAAAAGTATCTGAAAAATCAATGACTACCAAAGGCCAGGAACACCGTGACAGTCCAGCACCAAACAATAAAATCGATTCGCCGCTTTTTGAGTGCCAAGCATTTTTATGTAAAGGGTTGCTGATAGCAGCGTGTGCACTAATATTTGAGTTACTTGTGAAAAGACAACAACAGAAAGGAAGAACAGAAGGTGAGGGAGAGCTGGAGAGATGGCTCTGCTCTTCCAGGAGACCAGGGTTCCATTGCTAGCACCCACAATTTGGCTCATAGCCATCTCTAACTCCAGTTCTAGGGAATTTGCTGCCCTCTTCTGGCAGTTCCAAGGTCAAGCATGCATGGTGCACAGACACAGGGGCACATAAAAACATAACCCTGGCACATAAAAAACAACTTAAAGGAAAAACTCCATCAACAATGTGAAATAGCCAACCCAACCCAAACCGCAGACAGACAGATGAACAAACAAACAAACAAACAAACAAACAAACAAACAAA